TGAGAATGCACGACGTCCTAAAAGGAGTCTTGAACACTTAATTCAAGAGTTTCTGGGTAGTATCTATTGATCTGCGTAGCCTGGCGTTGTGCTGGTGGAACTCTCTGTTGGTGTGGCCGATTCTGGGCTATGCCTACCTTCAGACGTTCCAATATTTGACAGTACATATCCGAACTAAATCGAACCCATATATTGAGTTTTTTTTTTTGTTTTTTTTTTTTGTCAATCTGTTTTGGTAAAATGTTTAGCTCCTAGGAGGATCGAAACAATTCTTATCTGACAGATCGGATTTCCGTTATTTTATTGATATTTTCGACAACTAATCTTTCAGGGCGTGAAACTTTTTTAATACCAGAATTAAAGTTAATACCGTTCTGTGTCAAGCAATCACAAAACTGCCTGAGAACTTCTTTCCAATACGAAACCGTATCTTTCTAAAACCATTCAGCCTTTCACAATGCGCGTTCTATATCGTCATTATTTATTGCTAATTTTATGTTCCTAAAACCGAAAATGCTAGTAAATAATTGCCTAATTCGAGGGTTTTTCGTGCTATAGTCAAGGGGTTTAGTATCAAACCACCACAATTTAAAAAAGTTATTATACAAAAATAGTTATCCGTGAAAAGAATTTTTCGAAGTCACAGAGCTCTTATTCATCAATCGCAAATAATTCCTTCAGATGTGTTGAGTTATGTAAAAGAATTCTTTCCTTATTGGCGTAGACAACGCTCGCGCGGTTATAGCCGAATTGATTATACTTATTTTACGTCCAAAAATTTCCTTACTTGTAACTTACACATACATACCATGCATGCGATAGCCAGCAAGCATTTMATTTTCGAAAGCAGTTTATATTCATACATTTATAAATTCCCAAGAAAGCTATTAATTTCAGCTGCTGAAATAATTGAATTTTATCGCACTGGTTAGGTCACCACAAAGGCGCTGTTCAAAAGGCTTGATTAATGGTGTTAAAGCATTTTAAACCGCGCCAGAAGCAATAGCAAGAATACTCTTTTGCTACTCACCGTTACACGCCCACAAATACATACAAACAGGCAGCTTTAACAAGTACAGTTATTTTTTAGCAACTAAAAACCAGTGCGTAGACATTTATAAGCAAGCATTTAAGTATATATAAACCAGCTCATATCCACTGGAGCAACTTGGTAGAGGATAAACTTTCTGATTTGTTTATTGCCACAAGGCTGTCGCATTATTTCTAAATTAAGCCGAGTAAGTGTCCAACTCATAATCATTTCGTTGAAATGCCTCAAAATGGCGACTCCATTGAGATGAATGACAACGGATTAATACCACTATATGCAAATGTGTGTGTGAGAATGTTTTATATTGCGTATTCAGTCTAATTTCAAAGTTCTCCAATAAGCTATTTTATATTTATATAATATCAAACGAAAATTAATGCATATAGTAATGAAAAAATATATATTTATAGCAAATGTATATATTTATAACAAAAGAATTATATATAAGAATACTTTACAATTTTCTTTATTGCAATTTTTTTCTACTTTTCACACCTCATTCAAAACTTTGCATTATTTAATTATGCCTTTCTTCTGCTTTATACACACTTCTGTCGCAGCGCAAAACTTTCGCCGTCTCACATCATGGCAAGAGTGGCGGTCTAACTTTGGACTGGCAGTCGGGTTTTTCGCTGGCGGAAGGTGCCGACTCGGCCATCGTTTGGCAATATAAATTTTCACAACTGCGTGGTTCCAGCGATGACGGCAAATCAAAATTAAAACTACATTTTCAGGATCATGAAACGCGCGCAATTGAAACAAAAGTAAGTACTACATGCGTGTATGTATGTATATGTAGGTGCAAGCAACACGAACTGCTAATCCAGGCGTAGCCAACAGCTTTGTTCGGTATATGCCGCATATTTCTGCAACTTGCCACCATCCGCTCCCACTTTGTCTCACTATATCGCTGGTGATTGATGGTAATGAGTTCAGGAATGGCGAAAGCGCAGGAATGTCGCGGACCGGTGGCGGGAAACAGGCGACTGTCGCGAAAGCCGCGTGACAGCCACATCGAAGTACCATTTCACAATTTTCCTGCTTCTGCTATGCCTCCAAATACTCCTTCCGGCTACTTCTCTTTTTGTTTTGTGCAATTGAAAGCGGAGTGTAGGTATGACATGGCGTATAAGTAACAAGTACCAATATAGCCGAAGTGGTAGGGCAGCTATATATTTGTTGCCATAACTCCATCTTTTTATTTCACTACTATTTCTTCAGTTTTTACTCACTGTTTTTCTTGAAGTGCCTACTATTTCTTCTTGAATAGAAATAACGGCATTATTTTGTAGTTGTTTTTGTTTTTTTGTTTCTTTTTTCTCCTTTTGCATTGCCTTCTCTACAGTTACACTACGTGATTGGCGGAGAGTGGTTCGTTTGTAGCTGCTCATTTAAAATTTTTTCACTGTATTAATTCTCCTGTGACCCCACCATCAGTCTGTAGCCGTTGTGTATACAATTTTCATAGAGTTGCTTTTAGCGTAGTTTTATATCGAAGTTTTTTCTTGTTTTTTTGTTTTTGTTTTTTTGAAAAACTTTCTTGAGAAGTGACTCATAGGCAGAAAGGAAGTATGCTGTGCTGCAGTATGTTTTTATGATCATTATGATTTAGTATGTACTATATTTGGTTTATGTGATGAAGTAGGCTAAAAGTATAGACATTCATACACATATATATTTTAAATTTCGGGGTGCTGTTGGAGCGTTGTTGAATTGTTTCTGTTCAAACTCATTGCTGTACTATGATGCGGTACAATTGTAGTAGTTGAGACTTGGTGACCCATATATTGATTGCTTTCATTATAGGAATGTACATATTGTTCACTGAAAATAAWGTGGTTAGTGGAGTATGCATTTTATAAAAACAAAAGTTTAAATATGTTGGAGAAAAGTTGTAGTTCGATTTTTAACCTATTTTATTTGTTTCTAGCTTTTATTTCACTCATGCGAAATAAGTTTCTRCATTTGAATGATTTTTAGGTAGATATATAAGATAAATTTCATAAATGTACATATTTTTAATAAGTTATATAAACTAAATCACATGATACTGTACACTACGTAATAAAAGGTTATAGCATTTCTCTGCTGAAAAATATTTTAASATAAATAGGCAGGTGGTTATTATAACCTAAATTTTATGGAGCRATACCAAACAAACTAATTCCATGCCCTCAGCAGGTAAAACGAYGTCTCTTTCATAAAGTTATTCCCTCTATAAACTTTTGAAGGCCGTTTTAAAGCGTCTAGAATCCAGTATATATTTTGGAACTATTGAATATATACTACTGTGAGCAAAAAATAGTAAAACTTTTTTTATAATTTTGAAATTATTAAATCAAAGTAATCTCTCTTGGCGCCAATATACTTGTGGCAACGTTTTTTCCAATCCTGAAAACAGTTGTTAAAATCAATTTCCGGATTAGCCTKCAATGCTCATCATGTTTAACGTCTTCAATTGAGGAAAAACGTTTGCTGAATAGCCAGAAGTCACACGGAGCTGAATCCGGCGAATACGTTGGTTGCGGCATGATATTGGTTAAGAATTTATCGAAATAATCTCGTAGAATCAATGCAGTATGCGACGGTGCATTATCATGATGCAAAAACCAAGAGCTGTTGGCGAAAATGTCCGTCTTTTTTTTAAGAATAGCTTCGCGTAAACCACGCATTACACTCAAATAATATTCTTTGCTGACAGTTTAGCTGGTCGGAAGGTATCCCGAATGCACCCCAACTCCATAATCGAAGAAAACTGTCAACATTGTCTTGATATTTAACCTGGGACGTGATTTTTTTGGCTTCGGCTTAACTTTGCCACCATATCCAACACTCCCCGCTACTACGTTTATGACATCCTGGTAGTTCGAAAGCATTATTTCACAGATATGACCAATCAGGTTTTCACTTTTCTTAGTCCCAAATGATCTTTCCAAATGGTTTCCACTATCCTTCCGATAGTCCAACGATGCCACTAAAATCTCTGACTTTTAACCGTCGATTCTCAAAAAAAAATTATTTTATTTTATTTATGTGTTGATCATCAGTTGATGTTGATGGCCGTCCTGGATATGGTTCATTGTCAACGCGTTCTCGACGCGCTTTGAATCATTTTCAACTACCGAAAGCACTTTCACGCGGCAAACAATTATCACCGAAGACSTTTTCCAACATTTTGAACATTTCGGCACCAGATTTTTGATTCCGCGTACAAAATTTAATAGAAGTTCTTTGTTCAACAATTTCACTCATCGTAAAAATATTCGAATACAATTTATGCACTTCAGAAATACAAACGTATACAAACGTTATTTTGATGGAACATTTTGGCACGTGCATATATCACTGACTGTTAAACCCACCTTAAAAAAAAAATTAAAATTAAGTGGTCCTTCTAATTTTTGCCCACAATAGTATACTATATGCATATTTTATACACTTACATCCAAAAATTATTTCAAAYAATAAAACAAACAAAAGCGAGCAGTTAAATGAGAAGTGCATAAGCTATATAACAGATAAAACTCTGGTTCTCAAAGGGTTTTTGAGTGTTAGGCAGCTTTGAATCATAATATGTATTACCTCTTTAGAGYAGGTCTTTACAGCATTTGTTATTCACAATTTACTTGAAAATAGTCAGTTGTAGTATTACATGAATCAAASGTTTCTTATTACCGATGACTTCTTTAAATAATTTCCTTTGATATTTTGTCTCACATATAAAACACGACATCCCAATTCATTCATATTTCATTAGCCTTTGAGAGTGTTATAATTTTAAAACTTTTTTGGTCTCATGCGATTGATTTGAGAGTTACTATAGGCCCTAAGCTTAATTTTCATTTTCTTATTAATAARTAAGTTTAAAAGCAAAAACTGTTTTATTGAACGCTGGACTAAAGAATTTGGAGCTTATTGCCGGAACTTTTGTGTTAGTGAAATAATTCGAATTATACTTGTTAAAGTWTGATTCAACACAGATGTAATATTCATTTAGTTACCTACCAATAAAATGGCATATCTGTTTAAAATTAGTTTTCAAAATTGTTGTAGACAGAAACGGTTAAAAAAAATTAGCCTTTAGAAGAATGGGTCATTATTAAAATACGATTTTTTCTGCCAGTCAAACATTCCCTTGGACAACTTATTACCTTAGTAATCATGCATATCGCAGCCTATTAATTAATTTTTTTTTTTTTTTAATCTGCCAATAGTTTCTGTGTTCGATAGTAATTTTTTATAAAGGCTGATCCAAATGGAGGTACTTTTTCAATAGCTTTTTTTTAAAAGATATCTCATGAGTCAAGCTGTCATATTATTTTTGTTAAGTCTAGTTTGGCAATTCGTCATGGAAAGACGAACCAAATTTTGCTCACCGATGAAACCYATTCGAAGAAATTCCATATATCAAAATTTAACTAAAATTTACCATTTACTTTTTTGTATAAAGAAAATTTATTAGTATGTGCGATTTCACCTTTAATTTTTACCTTTTATTGATATAATTCCTTCTGATTATTGGTTTACGAATATTATTCTTTCATTTATCTTCTGACTCTTCTATAAATATTATTACAAATATTCAAATATTATCAAATAAATAAGTTACTTMATAAATTTCCTTTCTTTCTTGCATAATTTCATTAAAACAGGAACTGGAATGTCAAGTGCTACAAAGTTTACTCTTTTGTATGCATGCCTTTTTGACCGCCAAAGTCGCCTCAGTTGATCCGGCGTTTCTAAGTTCTATACAACAAACCTAAAATCGGCGCACTGAAAACATATAAACAAACAACGCGGATGAAATTCGTGGCGCCACTCATATTTAAAAAGCGAAAATGAGCCACAAATATGGCAGAAGGAAATTTATTACTGTATTGAACAATTCAAACGGCAAGTAGGTACTTAAAAAATTACAAACTAACTACAAAAAAAAAAAAAATATGAAAACAAAAAAACTTGAAGAAAGAGAAATATTTATAACTGATATTAAAGAAAATTAGCTTAAAATTTATACTTATACTTTGACATATAACACTTATAGATATTTAAAATAATTATGATACTTAGTATGAATATATTGGCTAGCATGGCAAATATGTGTGTGCAAAAATTATATAATATT